TTTTTTCCTAATTACGCATCTGAAATGCTGAATTTAGCGATAAAGGTAATTTTTGCAATGTACTGCAATAAAAATACCTTATATAAAATTTTCTTACATTTGAATTGGAAACTGAATGCAATATTCCTTAGTATATAGTGAGCACACAAGCCTTTATATATATAGCATAGTAAGGAATGGTAAATTGTCTTAGCAAGTAAATTAAAAAAAAAAAACAAAAAAAAACAATAGATTTTACACTTTCAAGAACAATAATAATAAAAAAAAAGAAGTTGAAAAGTAAAATATTTACAAGAATCTATTTTTAAATAAAATTCTGAAACATAAACATTAAGTATGAATTTTTCATTCAAAACGAAAACCGCTTATAAAAAATGCAAGAGCGGTGTGAGGATAGAAGTGAATAAGAAAGAAATTTTTAACTAGAATAGAACCATCATTTTCCTACTCAATCAACGTAATAGGGTTGCACGTTGTAGCAAGATGTGACGCATAGATCGGTTGGGTTACCATATTCTCAATTTTGCGGTTTTCAGAGAGCTTATTCTCGACCGCGCCAAGCGGTGCCGAAACCGTGAGCATTTCCGTGAGTGCGTACCGGAGAAAATTGTTGATGGTATTTTTTGACAATTGGCCTAAAGCAATAGCATAGCCAAAATTTACTGAATATAGTTAATCATTATTTCGAAAGGATGAACTTAGAGAAACATGTTTTGCTTATTCTAATAATGTAAAGTTACTGGAAAGAGCAACAAATACTAATAAATAAAACAATTAAAATATTTTTAGCTTAGATTGTCATGGAACTTAGATTCTATAGTCTTACGCGTGATATTGTAGTTTCGATTCACGCGTGTGACTTATTCATTATGAACTTTTTTGCATCCCGTATCCAGCTAGTGAGGGAAAAGTAGAGTTGCGCTAAATCATTTTGTTTAGTGGGGCGTTTAATAAAATATATTTTATAATTTGTTTGTAAACCACATTTTTAAGAAATGATTTATATTTTTTAAGTTGTTAATAAACTATATTTTTAAGAAATTATTTGCATTTTTAAATTGTAAGTATGGATGTTAAAATGCACATCTTTTTGCAATTTTGTCGTGAGAGTAATAAATGAATCGGTGTTTAAATAGTTGTGAAATTTTTATACCCCTATACGAACGAGGAGACGGCCTTGGAATTTTCGACATTGCTCCTGGACAGTGAAACTGAAAAATAAATTTGAAATATTAGCAAGAAATAAGAATGCAATATTAAAATAAGTTTTAAGGGTACTTTAAAAACCACTATATGAATTTTTTATAAAATATTTAAAACTAAATAAGCAACAAATTTTAATAAAGCTCATATGTTTCTTTGAAAACTAAATTTTTCCATAAAAAAATTTTTTTTTTTAAATATTTCATAACTAAAACAAGAAACTTTCTTTTAAAATGAGCCTTTATTTTAAAAAATCTTACAACTAAAAAAATTATTTAATTTCTATAAGTCACCAATAGTTATAACCACGAAATCAAATAATTCCCAATTATCGTGCATTTGAATGCCAAAACTTCAGTTTCAGATAAATTACTTGTATTTTCTTACGAAATATAATTAATTACAAGTATATTATGAAATGTGTATTTTATAAATCAAAAAAAAAAAATTATGTTCCGACTGAAATAAACTGATTTGAATCAAATTTTGTGTTTTTTACAAAAATTTTTTTATTAAAATAACCTTGGTGTCTGGTGTGTCAAATTTATCAAAAAGTGGACATTAAAAATGCGAAATTGGCTCTTAATTTTTATCATTCCGGTAGCTAGTGGCTACTATTCCTAATTTCTAGTCTAGAGCTTTTAGGGAACTCGAAGGCTCTAGTCTGGGGCTCGAAGGGTACTCTCTTACATGAGGGCGCGTAAATTAACTTTATTTGGTGGAAGAAATAAAAACTATATAGAAATAACAAACCTTATTTAACTGTTTGATAAAACAAGGTAATGTTTTTCATTATCGCTTCTCACCTTCACTCTGTTTCCATATGCAATAAAACAGGTTTTAATCTTTTCAGTCTCAAACTTCACTGTTTAGATTTCCATAATAATTTATTATTTCTTTGATTTGATTTTAATCGTAAACCCCAACGAATATTCTTTTTCTACGGAAAGAAAAATTCAAATAAAGTATTTTAAAGATAATCACAAAGGGACACTTCGTATATTTCCTTGAAGTGTATTTAACTAGCTGATCAAAACAAAATAAATAAAAAACTAAAATAAAAATAAATAAAAATTAGTGCATAAATAAATAAACGGATAATATTTACTACGGTGAAAGACAAAATTAGAAATGAAAAATACTTTTTGCCACATATTCTGAATCAAAACCACTTATTTCATTTAAAAGATTTATCTTAAATATTTTTTTTTCTTTATTCACAGGTCTAACAGCTTAACAAATTAAAAAGAAAACAACAACAAATTAACAGTAAAACAAATTAAAAAGGGGAAAAAAAAAACGTCAATATTGCAATATTGAACAAATTAAATTAAAATATTTATCTAGAAATATTTTAAAATCAAATAAATCTTTAACTGCAAAACAAAATCAATTAAACACGCCAAAACTTAATGAAATTTACATGTATTCATATACTGTATAAATACGAAAGATTAAATATTTATTTTCTTATATTGCAGTTTTTTAACATGTTTTACTTTTTATAATACTTGAATATTAATTTGTAATGAAATTGAAGTTTCAACTGAAAAATCTTCATTTAAAACATAAATTATGTTAAAGGTATGCTTTATTTATATTATTAAATGTGTATGCATAAAAACCATACACAAACCATGAAAAAAGCAAGTTAATTTAATAATTTTACATGACATAACACTTTAGAATGTAATAAATAAACATATCTTTAATATATTTATTTTATTCGCTCACAAATTTTATTCGCTATTTATTTTATTCGCTCACATATATTTATTTTATTCGCTCACAAAAACGGGTTTATTTAAATTGAAATTGAAAAAGTTGTCGAAGAATTTAAAACTTTGTTTAGTTAACAAATTCAAGAATTAGTAAAATTTTAAATTTCTCTTCATAAAATTAAAATTATATCACGTTTAAAAATTAAGGATTATAATATTTGATATTTATAAATAATCTAAATGAAATGTTGGTTAAGACTTAATACACTATTGACATGATTAAAAATTGCAATTGTTAAAATATTGGAGTAATTGTTGTTAATGAACTCGATGGATGCTAGTAGTGTAATAGTAAAATTATTTTTTAGTAAAAAATCAAAATTTAAACTGCATTTCAGCATTTAAAATATTATAAGTTCTAATTTCTAATTCTATAAAAATTCTTAAAATTTATTACACCACAACTAATTCCATAATTTTAAAGCTGTTAATTCTTCAAACTGGAAATATTTGAAATTCACATATATGAATAAGAGTTTCATGTTAAATCAATGTATTATACTAGCACCTTTTTTTTTAATTGTTCATCTTTATTTATGCATTTTTGCTAATTTAATATGTTTGAAGTAATTACACATAATGCTTACCTTGAGATCTTTTTCCTTAATTTTTTATTAAATAAAATGTTTAAAATTAAAGAAAAATATTCTGTGCCTTTCTAATGCACTTTTTGCTTCTCATTGTTGATTGGTTTATTGGATTTACATACATTTGCAGGCTGTGAGCTCAATTTAGGCTTATAAACCAAGCCAAATGATATGACAGATAGCACAATACAGAGAAGGAAAGCACGAAGATCCACACGGGATTCGAACCCGCTACCTCCACGCTTTGTAGAGTGTTTGGTGGATGATACCGCTCCCGATTTGCTTTTATCAGGACCTCAAAATCAGGACCTCTGATTAGGTTAGACTGGGCTGTCATGCCAAACGGTTAGAAGCTTCGATACAGCGAGTTCAAATCATGATTTAACAGTGAACGTATTTTCGTGCTATCCTTCTTTGAAATGTTGTAGTTGTAGTTTATTTACGTCGCACTACAGTTGCACAATGGGCTCATATGCCATCACAATTTTGATCCTCGACAGAAGGGATTGCTTCGGTAGCCCAACGACCTGCGTGCGAAGTCGAGCACTTTACGGTAGAACAGTTTAACGAGGACCAATACCGCACACCCTCTATCCCTTCGTAGACTGATCCAAGTTGTTATCACCCACCTGCCGCAGCCAGTGATGCTTGACTTCGGTGTTCTACAGGGAACAGTGTCTTAACAATCAATCCACTGCGGGACTTCTTTGAAATATATTATCTGAATTACATATTTAGGAAGTGTTCATAAACCATTCTTCGTATTGAACACACAAGACCGTATTTGTATTGAAACAAATAAATATGGATAAAGTTTTATTCTATTTTATAACAGTCTTTGAACAGCCGATCCAATTTAGAGCTTACGACTAATAATGTTCAGCTCCATAGCTTTGTAATTTTGAAACCGATCCAAAACACAAGGGAACTCTTTGATCATTTATTGGGAGAAATTTGCCTTCATGGAGGACTTTCTGATGGAACTAAGCAGCACTTACATTACATGAAGAAGAAAACCGCGAAAACCTCCCTCGGTTACCCTGACGTCAAAAAGATTTTAACCCATGATCTGTATATCATTAAGGATATTTTATGGTAGCACTGCGATCGATGCGAGCCAGGTGCAGAATTCGAATCAAATTGTAATCGCTGGGATTCGTACTCGCTCCACCTCATTGGAAGGCGAGCTCTCTATCCCCTGAGTCATCACAGCTCTATGGATAAGGTTGATGATTTTGAAGCAAGTTGGTTCCCCAGTGAACTGATTGTTATGACACGATTCTCAGTGGAACACCCTAAGTCAAGCACCAAGGCTACTGTCAGAGAACGGGTGGATGACATTTTGATTGATATGCTTAAGGACCGCATGCTACTTGAAACAAGTTGTTTAAAAAGTAGATCTCCAACAATTTAAATTATCGTGGTGGAAAAATATTTGAGAGATTTTGCATTTACAAAACCTTCATAAGTGAGCTTGCGGAATGTCACATAAAAGTGAAAAATCTCTTTATTGCAATTCCTACTTACACCAGGAAGTATAGGGGTAATGGGTTTGATTTCCATCCTGACGTAGAATCTCTCCTTCATTTCGACTTCTGAAGCTTTTTTCTATAAATTGTTATTCTGTTTAAATAAGGGTTATTAACTATTATACCCTCCTGAGACAGGGTCCAATATTTTGAGCAACATTTGTTACAAATTTATCGCTTAATAAATAATTAATATTTTTTACTCTTTGTATTCCTTTCACACAGCGTTTCCATTCAAAAATAGAATTAACGTTACCCTTTTTAATCAATATTTTTAATTACAATGAAAATTTATAATAAAACGGTAAAAAAAAATATTGATTCAGTCAATCTTTTGGTGATATTTTTGGCAAATGAACTTATTGAGTTTATCGGATTTTGTTTCTTGACCAAAAGGTGAAGAATAAAAAGTAAAAAAATCTCACTATAAAAAGTGTTAAAAATTAAAATCCATAATTTTTAGACAATAATTAAAAAATTTAAATTGAAAGAATTGAAGTTATTTAAAATATTTCATGTTATGTTTATGAGTTTGCTTTCTTATAATCAACATACTTTTAAGTAAAGACAGCATATTCTGCCATTTATTTAGTTTTATATCCCGAGGAGGTAACGCATTTCGTGCCTAAGTTGAAAAATTTATTTATTTAAAGAAGAAAGCAGTATTAGTAATTTATTAAGGTCGTATTATAGTTGCACAGACTTCGGTGATCTATTGAAAATCGTGTTTTGTGATCAGTCTACTCTAGGATATGAGATATAAAGAATTGTTTTTGTTGTTCATTTACGTCGCACTTGAGCTGCACAATGGGCTATTGGCGACGGTCTGGGAAACATCCCTGAGGATGAGCCAAAGACATGCCATCACAATTTTGATCCTCTGCAGAGGGAATGGCACCCCCGCTTCGGTAGCCCGACGACCAGCACGCGAAGTCGAGCACTTTACGGTAGCACAGTTTAACGAGGACCAATACCGCACTCCCTCGGTCCCTACGCAGACTGATCCAAGTGGTCACCCTCCCGCACACTGACTGCAGCCAATGATGCTTGACTTCGGTGATCTGATGGGAACCGTGTCTTAACGATCAGTCCACTGCGGGACATATAAAGAATTGAAAAACCTATATATAGCAGGTATAAGTGTTCTGATTCCTCAGTTATTTAGAAAAATGTACAATTTTCTTTTTATTTTAAATTCTTTTTCTCCCGATTTTTGTTAAATTTAAATACAAATAACAGGCAAAAGACAATTATGCTCTGGAAGCGTGAGAGAATATTTAGGAAGGAGGATGTATTGGACGAACTGCTCGCGCGTATACGAATCGCATTGACGCACAATCGGTTATCAAAAGTAAGTGCTGTGAGAATGCTCCTCATATAATTTGCGTCTGCGTGTTTTTTACAGGCAGTAGGAACAGTCCTTAAATATACTCTAACTTTATTAAAATTTGATACAAATAAAGCTAAAAGCAACTTGGCTTGATATTAATCAAGCATAATTAAAAATTAATATATCAATAACATGCTCTTCATAACTTTTTGAAATGATTTTTTTAAGTTTCAAGATTTCTTAAATTGTTATAAAATTATGCATTTTTGTGAAATAATCACCTTTAAATCAATTTGATTCAAGTCAATTTAATTTTTAAATAGTAATAAATAATGGCTCTTGTTCGTGCCCTGTGCTTGAACTTGTGCAAGCCGCAAAAGGCATCTATATTCTTTAAACCCGCTCCTCGTAAGTATAAAATTCAAATTTCAAAACATTTTTATGCGGATATAAGCGCAACAATACTGTTGCCTTACAAATATTGATCAAAATATAAATATAGAATTAGTTACCTGTTACTGCGACATATCTACTTCACATGACATATAATTACTGAACAAGACTTGATTAAGAATCAATGTTTGTGTACAATTTCTGTTGTTACCCAAGACTGGAGATTTTTCCGTATCGTGATCTTTCGTTCCATCACTTCGGTATTTACTATAAATTAAATGTTTTTTATACTTATTAGCGTTATATAATATTATATTGTTGCTCAGGGCATAGTTGCATGATTCAAATTTGTTTTTTTCCTTAATTCATGAGTGTTAAAAACTCGTGTAACGTAAATAGTATAGAATTTTATTTAAATACTTAAATTTCCTATTTATATTGTGGGGAGATTTCCGTATCGTGATCTGTGGCAGAATAATCTCCGAGTCTTTACAACTTCCGGGCACTGGCCCATGAGAAACTAAAAGAAGAAAAAAAACGTCACAGAAAATGACCAACTCAAAGGGTTTAACTCGTAAATCGGTAACCTGGGGCAAACATCCACATATGTTTCTTTTTCTTTAAATTTTTCCTTATAAAATCAATTTGGCACCTTGGTAACTGTAGTAAGTAGAAAGTTACAAATAATGTTGTAACTTTCCTTTATTTCAGAAAACCACCTTTTTATAAATCTTAACATGTACATAGATGATTTTAAAATGAGTGTTATCAATTTTCTAGTTTATCCATAATTTCTTAAAACTTTAACTTGCTGCTTTGAAGATATTTTCTTATTGGTACCTTTTAGTGGCAACTGCAATTGTTAAATAGCTTAAGTGTTTTTGTCTTAGTAAAAAATTAAAAAGAAACTGTATGTGGCTTGCTCAAGGGTGCCTACATATTATATGCTTTCAGTTTGTCCTATCATGCCATCTTTTTTAGAGTTTCTTAATGGTAAATTTGCACCAAAATATAGTGACTGTTTTGAAGTAGGTTCACATATAGAAATCATACTATTGATTTTGAGGGAAAATTCTTTGAAAAACTGCCACATTTGCAATATTTTCTGAAGAGAAAATTTCTGTACTTGCTTGCAAGAAAAAAATTACTAAATTTTAGCCGCAACTGTATAATGGCCCAGGTGAGATTTAGGAAGAACAGCACAGCATGATAGCAAGAAACCTATTCCTAGTGTCCTTAAGCAAACTTCTATTTAACTTCTATTTCGTTGAGCAAACTTCTATTTCTTTCATGTTAGATAAGCCTCTTTGCACTGTGGTGTAAAATATAATTATAACTTATTTATCTCTCTTATAAACTTGTTCATCTATCTTAAATTAGTTAATTTATCTTATTAAATAAATTTTTTTTGTATGCAGTTTGCACTCAATTTTGTTTTGTAATTCATTTAAAGTATTTTGTTCTTTAAATGGTTATAATTTTATTAGTCATGTTAGTAAATCATCATTGAAGAATGATACAAAAGTAATTGTTGGTCAGAATCTACTTTTTTTAACAAAATAATGCTGGGTTGATTACTTTAAATCACCTTGTTTTAAATCATAATTCTAATTGTATATTTAAAATAATTTGATTTTAAAAAAATATGGATGAAATTTGTCAACATGATAATAAATTTTTTAAAGTGAATTTTTTATTAAAGAACATTGTCAGCAATAAACTTGCATGAGAGCATTGATAATCTAAATTTGCTCAAGACAGTTTCAAAAGGTTTTGCTACCTTAACTTTCCTTAAATAAGTTATATACTAGGCACCTTTCTTGCCTCTTATACAAGCAATATTGATCTTCTTGAATCTTAATTAAATATTATTCTCACTGGTTTTGTATTAAAAAGAGGTTTAAATCATTAAAAACAGTGAGAGTATTCATTGAAAATGCATTTAAATATCTGAAAATTCTAAAACAATACCCTTATCTATTTTTTGGACAGACTCAGAAGTGACATAGCTGCTAAGCTTATTTTTATTTAACTTTTTAAGCTGTGTTTAGAAAAAAATAGATTATAACATTTTTCAGGAAAAAAAAAAATTATTATGAATAATTTGTACGCTTCATCATTTTAATAAATATAATTCTTCACTATAATTGAATAAAATGCTTAATAAAACAGCAAACACCTTTTATTATATTGAAAAACATTTTGATAAAAACTCTATTAAATCACTTTCCTAACTTTAAAACGAGCTAAAAATCATAGGTTGCTTATGAAACCTATGATTTTTAACTTGTTTTATAGTTAATGATTTATAAATTCTAAGTGTCTATTTTGTATTTGTATATCATCTCAGTTTTATATGTCTTTTTCAGAAATTTTATGTGCCATTAATGTCAAACTACACCCAGTTGAAGTTACGTCTGAACCAGTATTTAACAGCTTGATATCATGGAGATTTTCTCATGCCTTTCTATCCAGATGTTAGTTAAGTTCCATCAATTAAAGCTTATAACTGAAGTAGTAAAAGTTTGTTAAGTGATATTTTAAAAACATCAATATTTTTGATTATGTCAGGTGATTTTAAAAAGTACTGTTTACAATTTTCGTTTGCTAAGTTATTAAGCATGGTAGTTTACAAAAAAAGATGCTTAGTCGACTTTTTTTCTCATATTTACTTAATATGCTTGTATTTTAATTTTAGAATTTTTTTTTCTCATATTCTTACAGGATAAGAAGGTGAGGTTTTCTAAAGTTTACTTAACATGCTTGTACTCTAAACTTCTCACTTTTTGTTGTATATGTAATTGATATTGTGTAGGAACTATTTTTTGTTGTTTATGAAATTAGCATCTTTTCTTAAATTTTCCTGTGCATTTTTTTGATTTCCTGTACATTGTCCTCAAATCTACTGTACATGTCCTTCAAAATTCTAGTTAGTTTTTCTGGTATTATAGATCCTTTATTTCTCTTTAATGAAGTCAAGTATAATTTTTTATCTTTGATTTTAAGTTTTTTTTATAAATCTTCAAATGTACTTTGTAAGCAATAAAGGAAAATATTATTTGAAGTTTATAAGAATTTCCATTTACACAAAAAAATCTTATGCTACATCGGAGCGTGATTGATTAAAAATTTTGTCTGTTAGAAACAAAATTCAAACTAGGCTAATTAATTTGATTAAATTATTTAAAAAAAATAATTAAAAAAAATCGATTTGGAGTGTGCTTATTTGTAAATTTTTCTAATAATATGCTCTGTATACATTAACATATTAACAAATACATCGAATTTGTACTGATCACTTTAACTCCCCCAGAAATTCATTTTTCATCAAATTCTTTTACCACATTTCTTACAAACTATAAATTGAAATATATCAGAGATAACAAAAGAAAAAAAAAGAATCTTTTAAGATTCTTAAATACCATATTGAAATTTGGTTAATTGGGAGTTTTATTTGACAAAAATAAAGTGAAATTTTGATCAATGTGTTCAGTAGATACATTTATTAAAGTATTTATAAAAAAAAATTTCTAAATTGGTAATTTTTAATGTGTTGATACAATTTTATTCGTCATTTTGGTGTCGTAGTTGTTTCATCCTCGGGTCCAGGTTTTCATTTTCCCTCCCTTTCGACTCAAAGCCTCATATGATTCTACTGCTTAGCCCGTAAACTAGCTTGGCGCGATTATCGCCGCTTTTACTCCAAATGTTTATTGCCGANAATATGCAACGCTTTGGTTATAATCGTTACTTTTTTTAAAAATACTTGTACTTTTACTCGTTACTTTTTAAAAGTAACGTTGCCATGTATGGTTGTATCTAATATAAGGTTTTTATCCTCTATTGATGTTTGCACGAAATATAATGTCATAATATATTTAGCCAAGAAAAATAAACGGCTATTGAGGATAAGTTTTGCGATTTGTGAGAAAGAAAGGGATCTACATCTTTTTTTTAGATTAATATTTTGGCAAAATTATCTGCTACGAACTCGTACGTTTGTGGAATGAGTATTTATAAACATCAATTTCTACTTATGATATCGATATTGCTAGCTAGGAGTGCGATTTTCCATTATTTTGCAGTTTCGATTTCTCGAGCACGCGCAGTCAACTTTTTCAGGAGAATAAGGGTATATTTTTACGTTATGAGCTGCCAAGTTGCGATTCCCCACATTGGCGAAATATGTATCTAGTCCTTGGCATGACAATGACTACAAACATACACTAACCCCTTTGCCCTACCCAGCCACTCCCTTTCAGCGATTGGAAGGGGGGTGTCAAACACGATGCGAGGATGAAAACTACATGTAACCGTCATTTTATCTCTACCGGAAGTTAGGTTTTTGCAAAACTCATTATTCACAGTGTTTGCAGAATAAAAGCTTCCAGATTGATATATAAAGGAAAAGCTATCACTATGTTTACTCTTTTATTTTATTTTGTAATCTGTGTTCTTCTATTTTATAGTAGGGTATGGATTTTATAGAACTTATTTTTCCTGCATTCTTTACAACTTTGCATAGGGTATCCGTGCATCTGGAAAGTCATGAAGAATCATGGAAAGTCATAAATTTCAGTATTGAACAAAATTTGTCGTGAAATGTCATGATTTTAACTAGTTTTGTAAAAAAAATCATAAAAAGTCATGTATTTAAGTCGCCGAAAAATCTTATTTTTAAAATGGGATTTTGTCCCCTCAATTTCATGGTGTTCTGAATATCTGAATTTGTAACAAAATCCCCAATCACAGTCATATTTAATTAAAAAATATAAAATGTTTTTATTGTGCTCTTTAGAAGTTATGATGTTCTTTCAAAAAATGAAAGAAAAAACATTTCTAGAGCAAATTATATTTTAAACTTCTGTGATTTCAGAATTTTTGTTATTATTTATTTTTTATTTTATCAATTTAAAATTTTAGCTCATTGGCGAATTTTTTTATTTTGAAATGAGAACAGAAAAATCAGGAGTGTTTCTTTCCTTTCCGACGAACAAGAAAAGTATCTTTAGAATGTAATTCTGCAGAAAAAAAGAAAAAAAATTATTTGCTTTTGTATTTTTTTCAGCTATTTTATTGCTTTAACTCTTTTTTTTTACTCTGTTTTTTAAATTTAAATTCTCTAAATATGAAAATACAGAGTATAACAGTATATCTATCATTTCGATGAATGTTATTATAATGCTTTTTTAAATTTATTGCTGCGTTCTTGTCGGAGAAAATAATGATTTCGTTAAGTCATGAAAAATTCTTGGAATTAATCATGGAAAGTCATGAATTTGAAAATCTAAAACGTAGCAGATACCCTGTTTGTACTCTTTATGTAAAAAAATTTTGAATTTTTTAAATTACTTTTATTGTTACGTATGCTTATGTAGGTTTAGGTTGCATTTTAAATATTTATTTATAGTGACTGCTGATCAATTATGGAAGGGAGTGACAAGTTTAAGCCCTGCTGGTAGACGTAAAGGTAGAGGGAGAGGAGGTGGTCGCAAAGTTGCCCGGGATTTAAACAGAGGGCAAGTAATTGGATTTGGTAAGTATCTGTTAAATATACAAATAAATTTGTTATAATAGTTTATGCATGTAATCAAAAATTACTCCATACTTAAGTAATTATGTTTAGATCTGTGAATTAAATTTCTGCTAATTCTTCTAATTTAGTTGTGTTAAAGAAGTTGCCCCGCATATTTAAAATTTCTGAATGCTTTTGTCATTTTTCTAACTATTACCAATCTTTTAACTATTTTGAAAAATATATTGATTTTTTTTTCTCAGTTTTTAGTTCATAATTGTTTTAAAAACTTTTAACTAAAAATCTAACTTGATAAGCAGTAGCATTAACAGCGGCTAAGAATTTGGGTCGATCCTGTCAGCTCCTTCTGTCTGTTATGGATTCATTTTCTTAGAAAGTAAAAAGATTTTAATTTTAGATGAAAAAAATAATAAAACAGAAATTTCAGAGAACGAAATAAAATATGTTGTTATGCTTCATAGTATTATCCAAAAACAACATGCAGCAAAAGAGAAAGAGAAAAAAAAGATTTTATCTCCATGACTTATAATATTTACAATATTTTACACTAAAGCTTTAATATGAATTATTTACCTAAATTTATGTATTTTCAAAAAAATAAATTTTTTGTAGTCCTCTATCATCCTGTAAGTTATTTTTAATTTTTTTTTTTATGAGTTCATGCATTCATTTTACCCATGCTGGGGAAACTGAGTATAACCCCCTCTAATAATGCTTACATTTTTAGAACATGTCTTGAGGAAACTCTTGAACCTTTTGCATTTAAAAGTTCAGAATCCAGTTTAATTCTAAGCTTTTTTTTTATTAGTTATTGAAATGTCAAATTATCACAAAACCATGCCATTTAGACAGGAACATAGAATTCTTAAGGGTTATCAAGCTGTTATTAAGAACAGCTTATGCTTAAAATTATATTGACAATGGGCTCTATTTAATGTTAAAACATATGCATTTTTTATTTCATAATTTAGAATACATTTTTTTTTTTATTATTGAAACAAATCAATAATTGCTGTTTGTTACAGAAAATTAAAATTTTCTTAATTGTTATCTTCAGCTACTTAATTTGAAATTTTTACTTTAGGCAAAAAAAATATGCTGTGGCCAGGATTGAACGCACCTGTAGTACAGGGTAGAGAATTATTAAGGCAACAAGAACTACCTCCTGATGAATCAAGAGAAAAACGATTACTTGAATTGAGGGATAAAATGGCCACCAAAAAATCTTTTAAAATACATCCTCTAGATAGAGGTTGGACTGGCTCAAGGCTGCCAGGACGTAGTTTGGGACCTCCTGATGCTGTAGGAGAAGGTAAGCAAGCAAATTGCTTTATTTATTATTGTTAATCTATTTGAAGACTTAGCACCAAATCTCAACTAGAACAAATACAGATAATGCATTTACTCTCCTAGCTAATTGTCAACCCATTAACAATCACTCAAATTTGGTAAAAATTGTAAAAATATTTTTTTTCTTTCTTTTAAATTTTTTCAAAACTAAACCAGTTATGCATATAGGCATATTTTTTTTCTTTGAATTTAGCTGCCTTTTTAAAATGTTTAACCTACTTTTTTTTAAACTTTACATTTGACTTTCTTTACTACTAATTAGATTAGAAAAGATTTTCCGACATTTATTAACCCCTTTCTTCTCACTCCCATGAAAATGACGGGGTGAGGTTTCGCCCTCTATTTCTCGATCCCGTGATATTCTCAGGCTGGAGTGTTCAGTTGTAACGTGCCAATAAAAATAAAAGTAATTCATTTCTTTTGCCCGCGAAACATTTTATTTCTCATTTTACACACCAGATGGCAGTACCAGGATATTCCTAAAGTAATTATCGATTGTTGGTTTATTTTAAACTAGATGTTAACACTAATCAAATACGTCTATAAAAAATAGGCGCTTTTTTTTTACCGTTTTCTTGAAAATTAACCGATGATTAAGGGGTTACACCTATCTAATTTTTGTAAAAATTACTTTCTGATTCTTTTACTATTGAATTGTCTTGCGTATCAGCACTGCCTACTTATCAATGTATGATAGTATAAAAATAAAAGGAATTTGCATTTATAATAACTGTTCTTGGTGAAAAAAATATTCTCAATCTACTTTTTATTGTTGTACAGTAAAATTATATGCTCAATATTGCCATTTGTGAAGTATCTGGGAAAATAATAATGGTAGCCAGTAGGATTTTCATGAGCAATAAATTAGGTAAACCATGCTATAACAAGTATTTTAAGTCTGGTAAATTGTAAATACTTTTCTTTTTTACTTAATTTAATGAATTAAAAGTCTTCACAATTGAAAACATTTTTCAATAATTTCAGATTGCTCATTTTTTGTATAATGTGTATGCCTGCCCATTAGTGGATGTAGGATTGTAAGAGTTTGATGAGTAAATTTAATATTGTTTTAATTAAATTTTTATGCTAGGAATATTTTCGCAATTAGTTTAAGAAATAATATAATTGAATGTCCATGCAATGAAATGTTTCACAATGCTTATTTGTTTATTCACAAACTATCATAAAATGTTGTATGTATTTCAATTAATTACTTTTCTCGTGGTGTGTAGAGATGTTTTTCTATGTTTGCTAAACACACAGTATTTAAAATTCAAATTATAAGAGTATGATTATATCTTAATATTTTAAAAATGCTTTGAACGATGAAAAATTATATCAATTTAATATTATAATCAAAATTAGAATACTTCCTCTGTAACTGACAGAAAAAAAAATTATAGTAATATATTTGTTTTATAAATATATATGTTCTTTTTCTATATTTTTTCAAGAAAAAAAAATCAACTAATTTTACAAGAGTTAATTTGCTAAAGTTTTTATGTTTTATAACATCAAAATTTAATTACTATAAAAAGAAAAATGTAATGGATTACTATTTTTTTAAAATACTTGCTAATTTCCTTAACCGTCTAATCTTAATTTGGGTTTTTTTTTCAAAGTTTTCTTGACCGCTGCAGGTTTTTTTGCTTCAAAAATCTGGTTTTATTCATGCCATTCAATAGGGTTGTAGTGGGTAATATGGAAATTTCTGTACATTTTTATATAAGTCCTCAGAGCCTTGTGTTTAAAGACTTTGGGGACAAACATTAAATTTTTATTAAGAAAAATCTGAAGTTAGTTAACTTTCACCTCCCTATCTACCCTTTTGTGCCAGATAGCAGGTAAGGAATCAAGTTTTGTTTTCCAGGTATTGTCCTGAACCAGTCCTCCCAGAAATTTAGTTTTGCCTTACACGAATCTTGGTGAATGTATCTTTGCCAAGTAAGTCTCGGCCTTCCTTTGTATGGTTTTCCATCGGGTTCCCAGTAAGTGCAATGTTAGCAGGATTATCCCATTTTCAAATGAAGGATGTCTCCTGTCTATGGATTATAATTTTGCCTTTAATAGTAGATCTTTATTTGAAATAGTGTTATGCCAGAAAAATTCTATTTAAAATTTACATAAGGCAAGGGCATTTAAGGATCCTTACTAAACCCACATTTTTGTCTGATAATCAGGTCAAAAGATTAAGTAAATTTTTGTTAAAATTGTGGAAGCCCTAAAACGTGGAATAATTTCTAATGTAATAAAAAATGTAAACAATGATTAGGATTTTGTATCATATTTAATAATATAAATAGTTTTAGTTTCAATAAAAATTTTCACTCTTATAATATTTTTACTTTTGAACTCTTGCATTAATTTCATGAATTATATTTAAGAATCTATCAATACTAGGCTATTTTTTTATCATCTCTTATTGATATGGTTTTGCAATTTGGTTATATTTTTCAGATACATTTGAAGGATTTGATTCTCGAGTTCTTGAGGTAAGATCTATGAAATTATGAATGGAAATATTTTGAAATGAAATAATGATTGATTATAATGTATAACATGAAAGTATTATAATGCTTTAATTTAAATATTAAAGTTATTTTTTCTTGTTTATTTATTAATAAATGAATTATTTAATGAATTATTATTAATTATTATAAATGAATTATTATTAATTTAATTTATACATGTGTTGTGATTTTTTTCTCTTTTCTAATTTCTGTATGTTTCCTTAATTATTATTCTATTTTATCTTTTAATACAACTACAACTTAAAGTTAATTAATTAAAACTTTACCAATGGAATATTTTCATTACAAAAATTATGCATGAAATTATCTAGTGACATTGATTATCAGTATCTTTTAACCTAATCGCAAGAAAGAAAATATAGGATTAAGTTATTAATGTTTATTTATTTTAAAAGAAATTAATTTTATTTTAGGTTTATGCCTAAGGCAGGAAAATAAAATAAAATTTAAAGGGCTTCTTACCTGTATATTTAAATCCATATTTTTTCAACTTTATGTTTAAAGTTATGATCAGTGTAATATTTAATTTCATTAAACAAAATAAAGATTTTGAATATAGAATTTAATTTATAATAACTTTATTAAATATTAAATGATAGTTAAAGTTATATATATTAAGTTACTATGACTATTAAATTAAGGATTTTTAAAATTACATAAATCTTGTAATAATCATAATTTATGTTTGAAATAATAATTTTTGATTATTGCTTTAATTTTAAAGTTAAATCATACTATAATTTATATAAATAGTACTTATTAAAAAAACAGAGTAGGCAAAGTAAAATGTTTCATAATTTTTTCTTTAAATTATGCTAAATGACATTTATATGTTTGACCGTATCTTAGACTATATGCAATGTTTAATATAATCTTTTCACTTTTACATAGCAAATTATCAGTTATATTAGCATTTTTATTCTCTTCTGTGCATTTCTTATTCACATATACTTTACATTTTTCTTTAATATTAAAATTTATCTAATTTACTTTATTAGTTTTTCCTTAATGACACATAAATGAAATTACAATTTCTTCTCGGCATTTCATTTTAATAATACATCCTATTTAACTAAAAGAGCAATTCTATATTAAATGCCTTAGTGAAAAAAGTAATTTAATTTGATGAAGTTTTTAGCAATCTTGGATATATCTTAATCTAAAAACATCGGCCTTAGTATTTTGTTTGTCATTAGCGTTTTTTGGAATAATTATTTTAATCCCTCAAAGTAATAACGTGGTTTTTTTCTTCTATTTTCTTATACTCATATGTTTCTTTATGAGTATGCCATATACACTCATTCTGTCACCTACTTTTACTTTTTAAGTTTAATAATTTTTGTTATTCCTGAATCTGAAAAGATAAATCATTTATAAAACTTTTATGTTCTGTTATAGTTTAAACCTGTTATGCATATGACTGCTGAAAGAGGGCGTTTCAGACGTTTAAGTGCCATGGTTTGTGTTGGGAATAAAAAAGGACTTGCTGGTATGTTAATTAGCATATTTTACTTGCATATATTATTGTTTGGAAAATTAGTGCCATTTCATAATTTTTCACTAAATTGCAATTTTCATAGAATTAAAAATATATTGGGGGTATGCAGATGTATATTGTATCAATTATTTAATTATTCTTCTGATATTTCCTAATCTTTTTTTGGAGTTAATCTTTCCATGTTAGGAAGAAAATTGCAAAGAAGTAACATAGATTTTTTATTTTTTATATTATTTTAAATTTAATCTTCTTTCATGTAACAATAAAAAAGTACAAACATTTTATTAGCTTTTTGTAATCTTTATTTTAAAAACTTATATTTCTCCTTACTCAAATAAAAGTATGAGTCAAAATTAGGAAGAAAAAAAAGGAGTTTTGGTCATATACTATGAATTTTTCTTGATTGCTTGGTTTCTTGTTTATTAGTTTTAAGCAAATTACCTTTTTGATGCGTAGAATGCTGTTTAAAACTCAAATAAATATTGCAACTATTATGTTGTTCATTTCACCATTGATTAGTTAAACTTGGTTGCACTTTTTTCTTTCTTTTTTTATATTCTGGCATATGCTTTGAAATTCAACATGTTTGGAAATAAGAAATGCTTTTTTGGATTGCTGCTTTAGTCTTCGTCAGTTATTTATAAAATTACCAAAACAGGGACTCTATTTAACTGTACACTTGCTATCAGTTGGACCTTAAAAAAATTAAGAGAGTAATTTCATTCCTGTAATAATTTTTGAGGGCTTACGTTTGTCAATTGACTCTGTTTTACTACATAGATTATATTATGACTGACATAATAAGTATGCAAAATAAATATTTTCAAATTGGTGATTGAATGTTTTGATTTGAAAAACTTAAAAAGTTGTTGAGGTATGGTGAATATTCAAAACTTAAAATTAACATTAAAGGTTCAAAACTTTGAATCGCTTTCCTGATCAAACTATGGGGATCATATTTCCCAGATTGCGGGTACTTCTTATATTTTGGGGGTTTGAAATCTGAATCTATTAAAAAAAAAGATGTTTATTCAGACAAAGTATGTTTTTGTGTCTGATTTCATAACTTAAAATATCGTCTGCACTAATTAATGACATATGTGAGGTCATCCCCCAATTCATTAAGAATGAGTCTTAGAACGTGAAGATCTGATCATTAGTTCAAAAGTTATTAAAGGTGTTCTTTTTTTTGCACACTGTATATGTTTTTAATTTTTCTCTTTTATATTAATTTCTGCATTTTCATTTGATTCAATGATTTTTTATGTATTTAATTACGATAAAATAACTCAGTTGTTAAGCCATATAAGCAGTTAAAGTTATTCTATGCAGGAACTAAAGTGTTAAATAATATTTCTTTATATTTCAGGATTTGCTGTTGCAAAATCCGTGAATGGGCAATCAGCAGCAAAAGCAGTAAGTAAATAAAGATTTATTATTAAAAATTTAATGTTACTTTAATTTGAAAAATATGGATTTTAGACAGTCAATTATCATTTTATTATCTTTAATTAGTTTTGTTTTGTTAATGTATATGAGCATTTTTCTATGCATAAGTATGCTAACCATATATTCATACATAACCGACTTTGCCTTGATTATGTTGTGCAAATAAACAGTTTTGAACTATTATAAAATGTTAAATTTTTAAGAAAGCAAGGATAACTAACTATGCATGTTGAGCTAAAATGTTGTTTTTTTTAAGAGCTGTAAAAAATAAAGAATTCCAATGTGTTTTATTTTCTCAATAAACTTTTTTTATGTGTCCAGCTTTATTTATGTTCATGTTTAATCTTTCATGAATCATAGTTGTTCTTAAAGATAATGTTAAATAATATAAGTGGAATGAAAAAAAATAATGCTAAATGAAAACTCATTATTTTGTTGAAATGATTTAATTTTAATTAAGTTTATCTTGAACAAAATTAAATTGTGAGAATTCAAATTATACAAAATATTTTAAACTTAGGTGGAAAAAGTTTTTGAGGTATAATAAAATTCAGCTTTTATAACTTCAGTTTAATATTGTATTTAATATTATAATTTCAGTATGAATATTAAAAAAAAGTGCACTATATCTTTTATAATCAATGGTTTAAGATGATTTATTTTTAGGCGAAAAATAAAGCTGCTAAAAATTTACGATATATTCAGCTTGACAATAACTCTGGTAAGTTGTTTTGTGTTTTTTGTTTCATAAGTTTCAGACCTGTTTTAATCACAATATAAATTGTTAAATTTGATATTTTTATGTATAATAGAAAATTATTAATATATTGTTTGAATGAAATAAAGTTGAACAACAAATGTGAGCTCAAATAAGAAAGTTAACACAGACCCTGTAATTATTTTATTCTAACTTTACTATCTGTGAACTATGTTAACTACATAATTTAGTTTAGAAAGTCAGAAATTTAATTCTAGCCGAAAACGAAGAATATTTTAAGATATGTGTGTTAGCAAAACTTTTTGATTTTGGCATTACCACTGACGACAGAAAGGCTCCTGTGTGTTGGCAGGCAGTGTGTCCCCTGATGAAGTACTGTCTTGCTAACACACATATCTTAAAATATTCTTCGTTTTCTGCTAGAATTGTATTAGTGACTTTCTAAATTATTAGACTACATAATTTAGTTTTAATTTTATTCCTCTTCTGCAGCTAATATGGTATTATAAATATGCCCTCTGTTCCTTGATTATAATATTCTTTCTTCATAAGTGAGAACATAGTTTATTTAAGCAAAAATAAAAAGTGTGTAATAGTAAGTGTTTGTTATGTTATTACAAAAGTGCCCCCTGTTCCTTGATTATAATATTCTTTCTTCATAAGTGAGAACATAGTTTATTTAAGCAAAAATAAAAAGTGTGTAATAGTAAGTATTTGTTACCAATACTTATTATTTTTCATTTTTATTATGAGTTACTTCATATGTTAGTATAGTAGACTTCCAATATTTATCCTACCCCTGTATATATATTGACCTTGCCAGACCCTTTAAAAATTGAGTCCACTGTCCTCCAGGGTATCCCAGCTCATAACAAAGTTAAAACAAAATGTTTCCAGCTTAAATGAATCTGAATTCTCACAGTTTGAAGAAGAGAATTTCTATGAATGAAAGAAACTAATTTCATTGATTGCATTATTATTTTTTTTAAGTCAGTTGTTTGAAAATGTTCATGGTATGGCTATGTAAAAGTTAAGAGTGGTAGGAAATATTTGTAAATAATGGAATTTTCTACCAAATTGTGTGAATAAAGTGCAATTTAGTTATTACCTTTCCTTAACTTTATTACATTAAAATTTTTAATTAAAATTTAAAACGAAATTGAAGCATAATTTTTATTTATTTTTAACTATGCCATGTCTTCCAAAAAAGTTTAGAGAATAATTTTATTTTATTAAATATTTATGAGTAAACTTGAAACAGAGTTTAAATTAATTTGTAAATCACCTCCATATTAAAAAAAAAAAACATGGATTATTTTATAACTGACATATTATATATATAAAGCAAGCCCTCTAGAATTACTAATTAAAAACATTATTCCACTTTATTTTTGAACTTTGTTTTGATCTTCATATTGTTTATTTAGATTATCATCTCAGTTGAAAAAAGAGAGAAGAACGAATCTTAATTAAATATCTTACATTAAATTTTTTATGTACTTTATTTTGTTACAATAATTTGACATTATGTTCCAAATTCATGTCAAAATTAGGACCTTCACAGTTGGACTGTGAAAAAATTAACTGTGAAAAAAAATTTTTTTTAAATTCTTTTTGTTGTAAATTACACGAACTTGTTTAACTCCTTTTGAGATTAGTTACAAGCACAAATTCTTTTTTATAATTTCACAAAGAGCAGTACAAGCTCTAAGGTAGCCACATCAAGTTTAAAATGTTATCACAGTTTCAGTTTTGTTACATAAAAACGATTACATAAAAACCATATTTCATTTGCATTAATATTCAATAATTGCTTTTTTATTTTATTATCTTCACTAAAAAATTTAGTTCCTGTATTTCTCTTCTGCATTAGTAACTGTATTTCTTTTCAAATTTAGTAATCACATATCTTTCTTTTGACCATAAAAATTGTGTTTCATTTGCATTAGTATTCTATAACTATATTTCCTTTACTGTCTTCATTAAAAGCTCTTGTAACTATTTCTTTTCTGCACATATTGTTTTTATTTCAGGTGAGAGTTAAACTTATTATTATATGACGTTATTTTTAGTTGACAATTTTACTATTTATTCACTTTTAAAAATTTGGCAAATTTCATTAATTTACAGTTTTTTAATTTTTTAAAAATTATAGTAATGCACGATTTTTTCACTCAATTTGGAGCTGTGAGGATTTTTGTGAAGAAGAAACCTGAAGGTGAGTTACCATAAAAATTCAAAGTATTTTTATTGAACTTGATTGTTTTGAAGTCTTTACAGCAGGGTTGGCAAGGTTTAGGACAGAGTGGATTAATCCACGGTTTAAACCGTCCTGTCCAAAACCCTTTTACTCAAATTATGTCACAATTTTAACTGAACAATATTTAAGAGGTAAAATAAATATAGAACTAATAACATGTTGATAATTAAATATACTAGAGAATATTTGTTTTTAAAAGTATAATGTCTTATTAATATTGTTTGACTCTTCAATTTAAACAAAGGAAGATTAATCAGTAATCAAGTTCAATTGGTCCTCTCATTCAATAGTACATAACTGAAGTTTGGCCTTGCCATACAGGTTAAAATATTAGGGACTAAGTGCTTGGTTCGTCATAAACAGGTTTATTTATCTATTGTACTATTCAAGAATACTTTTATTTCATTCATGTTCAATTCTTTTAGCATAGTGGTGATACATCACCAGTGTCAGTAACTGAAACTGATGTTATGCCCTTCAAAACTGTTAATACATTATTCAGTTATTTTGTATTTTCAATTTAAACTAATATATTTATATTCAAAAACAATTTTTTTTAAAAAGATGTCTGTTTTATCATTCTGTAATGCAGAAATTATAGCATTTTTCTAAAAAATATTGCGAAAAATAAAAGGTTAATTTTTGAACAAATTTAGTATTTTTTTTTTAAGAAAAACTATTATTTTTTAAAATTGCCATGTTTATCATTATGCAAAAATATTATTTATCAGTATTAAAAGCATATTTATATTTAAAGGATTAGGTATTCACTTTTGTTGTTCAAAGAATTGTGGAGCTTCAAAAATTATAAGCCTTTTCCTATTATATTATATTATTTTCTTGTAATAAGGTATAGTAAATTGTATAAAAAATATCAAATATTTATTGATACATGTAATTATTATGTGTACAATGGTTACACCTATAGAATTTTTACCTTTTACCAAAGTTCAAGGTTTTGGACACTTTAGGACAGTTTTACCCAGTTTAAGACGGTAAAACCCACGTGTCCTGTCCAAAACCAGTTTTGGACGTACAAAACCCCAACCCTGCTTTACAGTGTTTAAAATTGTTTTTCCCAACCTTATTTCATTATGTTTCACTTAATATTTTGTTTTGTTTATGTATCATTTATATATTGTATCATCGTAATAGTATATTATGTATTCATACTCTACATAAATTCTGTTCAACAATTGAATTATCTAAAAAAAGCCAAAATGACAACTTGTTCAGAATGTAAATCAAACTGCTATTGCACTTCTTTTTTATAATCAAATTGTTGTTTATGAGACATGGGTTCTGTGAAGCATTGGATTTAAATATTAAAATTGTTTCGTGCCATTACAGCTTGTAAATTTTTTTCAAGAAATAAAAGAGAGCTGCAGCGTGATTGTTTTATGAAACTTAAGCTATTCTAATCATTTATTTCATTTTTTAGAGTTATAAAAAATTAAATTTTAAACATTGGTTGAGCTGCAAGTTTTTCTAAATGAAATAAAACAGTACAAATTATCGTAAAATTATTATTTGTTCCACAGATATCTATGGATTACTAATTCACATTTAATAATAGTCACAGACTATTTATATAAAAATGTATTACGGTGGTGTATTTTTATGTAAATAAATTTCTGCAATCGCTGTTAATAATTACAATGTAACTTATCTTAAAATAGCTATATAGTTTGCAAAACGCTCAATATTTTACACAGTTAAAAATTTTGAAAATAGTTTTATTAAAACAACATAGTGTATCTAAACTATGTTGTTTCAATGTATTAAAATGCTGAGCTTGTTTTCATTCCTGTTGTATGCATTTTCATTTTTTTCAACAATTTACATGTTTGTAGGTTATGGTTTATGTACACATAGAGTTCTAAGAGCAATCTGTGAAATGGTTGGAATTAAAGATTTGTGGGCCAAAGTTGAAGGTCCGACTGACAACTATCAATGTTTGGTAAAAGCTTTCTTCATTGGTCTTATGAGACAGGTAAATAAAAAATTTATTTTCTCCAATTTTATACTTCTTACTGACGTAATTTACTATCATTACTCTTTTAAGATTAAAAAAAAAAAAAAGTTTGAAAATTTCTTTTCACATAAAATACTATATATCCTGTTTGGAAATTTGAATTAATATTGCTCAGTGATCAAAAAAGGTTAATTGTATTATAATACAAAATATATAGTATAGTATAATACAAAATTTAAAGTATGGTACAAAAATGAATGAAAAAAAAAATGCTTTTAAATTACATTTATAGCCTTTTGATAATAGTATTTTAAAATATAAGGAAGTAATATCTGCTAAAGAGTTCTAACTCCTTCTTAACAAGGCATCCCTATATAATATTTTTAAAGTTTTCAAATAGTTAGGTCTGTTATTTTTAGTTTTGTTACTTGTTTAAATCTTATTAAATCATATTAAAGAAGCACTGCTGCTTTTAATTTTTGCCTTTAACTTAGAATTACAATCAAAGTCTAAAACCTAAACAGTGAATACTAAGAAAGGGTGATAAATGTATATTTTGATTCTTCTCCATTTTGATTCATCTGATTTTTCTTCAAATAAGAAGGGTTTGATAATAATGGATAACAAAATGGTTTAATGTCATTATTCTTTCATGTTATATCGAAATATAAGGGGAGATTTACAAATTTTTCATAGGTTAAAAATAAAATCTCTTGCTCCAGATGCATTTATATATTATATTTCATTATAAAACTCTAATTCAGTATTATTTTCAAAAATTTTGTACATTATAATATTCCAAAGTAATGTGAATATGACTTTTAATTAAAATTATAATTTAAAACTAAATGCATATTCCTCATTCCTCAAATCTATTATTATAATTTTTTGTTTGGTATGTTGACATCCTTCTTAATTTGAAATATTGTTTCATTATACTTTTCAGAAAACTCCCCAACTACTAGCTGAAGAAAAAGGCTTACACTTAGTTGAAATGCGCAAGGACAGGGATTATTTTCCAGTTGTGATAGCTTCACCATCCAAGTGTCGTACCGAAAAGGATTTTGGGCCAACAGAGCTATTAGACTATACACTTCATTTACATAATAATAAAGTGGAAGCTGAACGTAAACCGTTTCAACCCTTTTATGTCAATTTCCATAGTTATATTAAAGAAATGAAAGATCGAGAAAGGCAACGAAATCAGCGTGACGTTAGAATACATCTTTTGGCTAAATATGGTGCTCTGAAAAGTTTTATTACAATAAAAAAGGAAGAAGAAGCTAAACAAAAATTAAATGAGCAAGTTGAAGAATAATGCATTTTTCTATTTACTGTAAATTTGCAAATTAGATTTGTAAAAATCCATTTGGATTTGTACAATAAAATTGTTTCAAATTACATTTTGAAATGTCAGTTATTATAGCAATAGCGCCATAAAGGTAGCAATGCTGTGAGCTTAAAAATAAAATTACCTTGGCCTTTAATATATATTCGTTAGAAAAAGTCAAATCCATTTTAATTTCTTGATGAACTTAAAGGTGTTTCAAATAATCTAAAAGCTTTTTTTTTTTGTTGAAATTAAAGATGCTTTTATATTCTCAGTCCCTGTTTACTAAGCTCACAGATTTATTAATTTTTGATCATATATTTGTTTCATTTTTCCTTATTTAAATATTAATTAGTAACACCTGAAGTGTACATTTTTTATTTCATTTTTTTGTTAAGGCGCCTAACGATATAAAATAGTTGCTGCCATTACCGGATACCCTGTTTATAATACATTTGATATTAATAAAAAAAGGTTATTATCTGTGACTGATCACGCAGTTGCTGTAAATTTTAATAAACGATTACTGATAGACAATGTTACTGATTGTTGAATTATTTGTAATTGGAAGGAAAAAAAGAAAATAATTTGTGCAATGCCCAGAAAGAAAAAAGAAGATCACAATGATTAACTTTTGTTTTAATTATTGAATTTTTATGAACTAAGCAGGGGTCTGTCCAGAAATTTTGTGAAAGGTCCTTTTTTGTAAAATTGTGAAAATATTACTCGTAATTTGTGAATATAAAATAAACGTTAAGTCACATTCTTTCAACCAGGGTCTGCTTTTGTGAATTTGTGCATATAGGGTCCGTTATTGCAAAAAAACTTTTTCAAGGAGTTTTTAAATTGTAAAGACATACGACATACAAGATTATGCTCAACACTGTAAAATTATAATTTAAAAAATTAAATTTTAAAATAGAAGTAGCAATTGCTGCTACTATTTTAGAGATGCAACGTACAAATATTTGGTATTTAGCCTATACTGCTGAACACAGAATATTCATTTCGGACGAATAAAGGAAGGAGATTCCGCCGAAAACAAAACTTAGTTCGTTTGCATTTGTCTTTCTTCCCCCTATTAAAAGATAAATTATTTTGTGAAGGGTCCGTTTTTATGTTAAAATATTTTGTGAAGGGTCCGTTTTTATGAAAAGATATTTTGTGAAGGGTCCGTTAAGAAACCCAAATTTCTTCTAAACAGACCCCTGCTAAGTGTCAATTTTTTTGGTTCACAAGGATAACCTTTTGTAATATGATGGCTGAGTGGCTCTGATAGATGAAAAGACCTACATTACTTTGTATAAACTTGCTTTTTTTTTTTTTTTTTAACTGATTTCAATATTTGACCATCAAAATTCCTTTTGTATTTTGTCATTAAAAAAAAAAAAATTTTTTAATGGAATTATCTTTAGATAAACGAATTTTTTAATTGTGTGTAAAAAGTTTTCCATTTGCTTTAAAACTTTCCGAGTTTTAATGACAAAAGGTAGAGTTAACATTAATGGGTAACATTATTTTCTTGTAATTCAAAGAGAACAGTTATTTTCTTGCTCCAAGATGCTTACATTATCTTATTCATCAAAGTTATTAAAATAGTTTCACTAATCTCTAAATTTCAAAACCTAGGAAAAGTCTTCTACTGTTATGTAAAGAAATTTCTGAAGATTGATGCAGATTTTTAAACGGCAAAATGTCTGGTCTTCAGAAATACAAAGTGTATACTACTAAGTGTTAGCTTGCTCCAATGCATAAATTTAGATGTACATATTTTCTTTCATAATTTGTGATGATTTTTACATTTTGGTATAACTATAGTGCAGGGTTGGCCAAGCTCCTTAATAGTCGAGCCATTTTTCAAAATTCTAAATTTTTTGTGAGTCACAATTAAATGCATATTAAAAAAGGTATGAAAAAAAAATTTTTTTTTTACAGAAATTATATTTATTGAAAACATATAAATAAAAGTACAAAATATGCATATTGAATTTAAGTATTGAAAATTAAACCCATGTATTTTATTTCTCTTGATAATTCTTTAAAATTTGGTGAATAATTGGTGACAGCACTTCTCAGTAATTCTTTGAGATGCTGGTTAGTTAATGCTGATCGGTATTTGGATTTCACGAATTTTAAAGTGGAATAAAATGATTCACTTAAGTATGTTGCTCCGAATATTGAAATAATTCGACAAGCAATCTTTTTTAATTCAGGATACCTCGATTCTGGTACAAATTTCCAAAATTCAGTAATCGACGTCGACTTATATTTTAATTGTAGAGCTTGATCTTCTTGCATTTCTATTAATTCTAATTCTCCAGATGCTTTTTGGGTCATAATTATATTGAAAATGGAAAACTCACATTGAATTATATTAATTACAAATGGATTCAGAAAAAAATCAAGAGATGATTTAAAATATTTCAATTCTAGAAATCTATTTTGGAATTCCGTCAATATTTCTTCTATCTTTTTTATATACTCGTTGAGATTTTCTAGTTTAATATTGAAATAAATTTTTTTAATTCGAGGAAAGTGACAAAATGTTTTATTTTTAATGTCCTTTTGAAAAAGTTGCAATTTAGTTTGAAAACAAAATATACACTGTGAGAGATCAGATATTATTTTATCTTTCCCCTGCAATTGTAATTCAGTGTTTGCACAAGTTCCATGACATCAGTTAAAAACATTAAGTCTTGTAACCACTCGTCATCATCTAATTCTGAATAGGTTATTTCCTTTTAGAAATGCAGTTATCAGATCAAACAAATATACAACACAATTTAATACGTTGTAGCTGGATAACCATCTAACAATGCAAAAGAAATTAATGTCATTTGGGAGTTCTTCGTCCTTTAATTCTTTAAGAAAATTTTTGAATTGTCGATGATTTTTTGCATTGGTGCGAATGTAATTTACAATGTGTAACACTGTTTTCATAATATCAGGATATTTCAAATATTTTGTTACCAGAATTATGCAGTGAATCGGTATGAATTGTGGAATTTGAGAATCATCTCTTAAAATCCCAATAAGACCGATTTTTTTTTTTAACCCAGCATCGCCGGAACTCCATCAGTTGCAATGCTTACAAGTTTGTTAAGAACTACATCAAAAGTTTTCATTGTAGAATCTAATGCATTTTTAATATCGACACCGCGGACTGACTCTTGAAGTGCTACTAAATCTAATAATTCTTCTTTAACAACGAAGTCAGGTGAAGCAAAACGAATAAAAACGGCCGATTGCGGAAGATCTGTGATATCTGTCGATTCGTCAAGGAACGATGATAATTTTGTTAAAATATAGTAGCGCAAAAATGAAAAGGGAACTCGTGTACATTTATCGAGAGCCGTAAGTAGCTCGCGAGCCGCAGGTTGGCCACCCCTGCTATAGTGTATTATAAAGTAATTTTAATAGGTTCTTACAGTTGTACAAAGTTCTCTGCAGCCATTTTGAAAGAATTGAACTGGAGTTTAAAACTTATAGCTAGATTGAAGATCGTTAAATTCAGCTAAAAAGCAAATAATGAGAATAATATTCAGATCCAAAAAATATAAAATAATTAAATCTATAATAAGAAGCATAACTTTATTGCTGTTCTCATTAAAAACTCTGGAAATCGGCAAAGCTATTAATATGTGCGCATTCAATTAAAAATAATAATTACGCCATTGATTATATTTTACTTTGTTTATTCTTTTTTTAGTAAGGTGGAATTTATCCCGACCCCCCCAAATGTGGGTATGCGGGAAATGTAGTGTATGCACTCGTCGCCGCGAAGGAGAGGAGCAGTTATCAACCGGCACATGCACCGGCCGAGGGACCCGGCGAAGCCCCCCGTGGCATCTATTTAAAAAACACAAAAATATTACAAAAGAAAAAAAAATTGATGGCAACAGGCCATGGACAGAAAACTTATTACACAGTTTGAACAAAAGAATAATAAGGAACAATAAATGGGCATAAAAGTATTACTGGGTGGTTGGATTAGGTCAACAGACCCTTATACAACTCCAAAAAGGGACCCGAATGAGTATTAGGCTGGCAGAACGCAGGAATTCAACCTTAATTTAAAACAAATGAAATCCAGGCACATGCCCATGATACAAACGGGTAAATACAGATATTGGTCGGACCCCTACTTCCGAGCCGGGAGTGGTCAAAAGCGTGATGCAGATGATTAAAAGGTAAAACCATAAGAGGATTAACGAAGACAAATACAAAATTGAAACAAGCTAAAAAGAACAAGTTATTTTTTTAGTAAGTAAAACATTCCACTGATTGGTTGAATTGCTCGATGAAGTCCGATTCAGGCTTAACTGTAATGTTTGAGATGGTGGGTGGATGCCGATTCGTTTACTTTTTCTTTTTAACTCAGTAATTTCATGTATTGCGATACAAACTAGTTTGGTTTCAAAATTTAATTTATGTGCCGAGTCAGGCATAACTGTAATGTTTCAGATGGTGGGTGGATGACGATTCGTTTACTTTTTCTTTTTGATTCAGTAATTTCATATATTGCGATACAAACTAGTTTGGTTTCAAAATTTAATTTGTGCCGAGTATGAGCATGATATTTATTTAAAAATATACTTTTATTTTCATTGTAGTTTGGGTAAGTTATATTAACTTTTTTAATTTTTGTATTTTTATATTACTAGTGACGTGGTTATAATTAATAATTGTTATTTATCTAAATAATTTGTCTTGATAATAACTTTTATTTTCTATACTAACATTTTCCCAGTATTTCTTAACTAATGTTTTCTTAAAGCTAAGTTCAACTGCCTGATCTTCCTTACACTGTTTTTTTTAAGGTTAAGAACGGTACTAACCTCACCAATTGAAATGGAATTATTTTCTATAACAAAGGTTGCTGAACCACTACTTTAAAAGTACATTTAATAAAGAATTTCAATATGCCTTCACTTGCATTTCTAATAATGTGCAAAAAGTTTAAATCCAATTATTATTTGACAACGATAGTGTGAATATACATTGCCCGCGTATTAACAAAACTTTTCATATCGTGTTTGAAAATAATTTTTCATTTATCGTGAGTGCACGAATTTAGAAAAGGACTGCACTACATTAAAGTTACATCATCTCTACCGATTAATATCATTCTTTATCATTTTTTTTAAATCAGACAGAAATGCCAAGTAGTTATAATAGTTTTTAAATATTATATCATTAAAAATGTTTTCATTTATAGGTAAGAAAATAATTGAAATCTGGAAACATAATTAACTAAATAGTTATTACAATCTGACATTACTTTAATCGCAATTTTATTTATTTTTAAATTTTTATAACATATTTTTATTAAAGTTATCACGACGATAGATAGATATTAAATTGGATAATATTTATTATGCATGACTCTTTTTACTAAAGTAACAAAATCAAATGAATAATTTATTACTCATTTGCATGACTCATTTATTTCTCAGGCATAATAAAATTAAAAGTCATGTATATGCGAAATCTTTGCTTGGTTTGAACATTAAATTATATATTATAACATAATTAAAAACGGCAAGGTAGGTTTAGTTCTATTTTTAAAAAATAGAAGAAAAGGCTATTTTAAATAATGTGTAAGGGACTTATGAAAATCATAAAAAAGGCGACTAATTATATTGTATAGTTTCGGTAAAACATTCTCCATAAAATATAAATTTTTATTAATTCGTATTTTCCGTTCACATTTTTTGTTCTTTCAATAATAACAAAATTTATTTCTCTATTTGCTGTCATGTTGTATATAGACGCATTATTTCATAGATCTGATATAATCAGAGGAAAAGTAATGTTTGTCTGAAACAAAGGTAAAATTTTATCTCTCTTTATACACAGATTTAAAAGTTGCATGTACTTAAAATAACTCGAGCACCAATTTAGGAGAAGTTTATGAATAGCCGTTACTTGCACTGTTTAATAGCCCTGGAATGTTTAATCGTGGTTACCCCTACCCCATATTTTAAGAATCTGAATCCGTCGGAACGAGGTACACCTTTTCAGAGAAAGCACTTTTTTTGTGTCTTATTTCGTGCTTTTAAATATCATCTGCACTTATTATTCAATATATTTTATGTTAGGTCCTCAAACCATTTAAATTAAGTTTTATAACGTAGAAATCCGATAATTAGATCAAAAGTTATTCATAGTGTCCCATTTTAATTTTGCGCAATGCACTCTATCCTTTAAGATTGAAAAAAAATAATTCTTGGGAGCTCAGAATGAAAAATATCATAAATTCCCCAATGATTTTTTTAATTACAAAGCAAATTTAACATTTATTTTACTGTTTTGTCTTTTGGGCGTTAATATGTATCTTCTCTTAAAATTTAGCAGTTATAAAGGCCTTAGTTTACTATCAGATCGGGAGAGGTACAAACACATAAATATTTTATTTTATTACAGGTATATTGATTTGTGAGTTTAGAAATTTGCATGCACATTTTAACATATTTGTAAGTATACTTGAAATTAGTGAGACAATGGTAATCATACAATGTATTTTTGCGAGTTGTAAACAATCAAGAATGAAACCTTATTGTTCTCTTACCATATTACTTGCCGAAGTTTCCGAAATTTTGATAATATATCTATAGATTTAATGCGACAAGCTATTAATTTTTTCATATACTAAACACAAAGGCTATTTCTTTAATAATTACCAAAGTCATAAATTGGAAATACAAAACAAACTAACTTTTGCTTGAGCTTTTTTAAGGATTTTTAATAACATAAAAGTACAAGAGCCGCAGTGGCCCAGGGGACAGAGTGTTTGTCCACCAATTAGGTGGGCCAGGTTCGAATACCAGCTGTTGCTGGTTGATACGAGTCCTGCTCCCGACTCACTCCGACCACAGTGTTCATGTGAAATATCCTCGATTGTGGGTTAGCCTTGTAGTTATGAAATGCCACCTCATATTTATGAAATTATTTTTACCTTATATTTATGAAATTATGTTTATGTATTTGAGCGGTTGATTATTTCAAATTATTACTTTGTCTATCCACAAAATCAATCCAGCAATTTTGATAAACATATATTTTTTATTTCTTTTATAGGATAAAAAAATATGATGAAAATAAGCCTTTTAAAGAGGACATTATTTTAAAGAAACATACTTCTCTCATGCGATTAGCAGTAAAAGAAAAAGCAAAATGAATCAGGCATGCATAATAACCGATCACAAATATGGAAGAAAAATCAAAACGGAGCAGCAAGTTTTAAGCAATGTATATGCTTTATCGAGAATTCTAGATACGAAAAACAGATGCATTAAAATCATGTGGATTTATATAACCGCTATTGCGATTGTAGCATCAATGTTCCAATTTGTGTGTTTTACAAAAAAATTCTTATCCTATCCTACAGTAACAAGTTTATTGCATAAAATAGATGACAAGGATCAATATCCTTCAGTTACAATTTGTAATTTAAATCGCATAAAAAGGACATCTGATAATTGTTTAAAACTTGCCTTACCATGGGCTGTTTGTTATGGAAACAGGGTATTCTTCAATGGGTCTTACTTAATTTTGTCTGAAAGAAAAAATTTCTTCTCTTGCAAAAGAAAGCAAAAAAACACAAACAGCGAGGAGAAAAATACAATCATGGGTTTATTAACGAAATTTGCAAAATTAGGCTTAAGTGAGAGGAAGAGTTTAGGTTCCAAAGCTGAGACATTTATAACCCATTGTACTTTTAGAGGACAACAATGTAATTGGAAAGATTTTACCTTAACGCATAGTTTGCAATACGGTAATTGTTTTACATTTAACAGTTCAAAGTACTTTTACGGCAATGAAATAAATAAATCATACGGATATAATAAAGGCTTAGAAATTATTCTTAATTTAGAAACTGTGAATTACCTACCTCTGTTATCGGCAAGTGTTGGCGCTAAGGTGATAATTCACGACTCGTTTGAGGAACCGAATATTGAAGATAAAGGTTTCTTCATAAGTCCTGGATTTCAAACTTCTGTATCTTTAAGAAAAACAGTAGTTGAGCGTCTACCATCTCCATTTAAAGATCAATGCAAGAATTATAAATCTGAATTCACGACTCAAAGCGACTGCATCCGTCGATGTATTCAAAAAGAAAGCTATCAGGAATGTGGCTGCATTGACCCTGGCATTGAAACAAAGTCAACAGGTTTTAGAATATGCAATTTGACAAACAGTTTTCAAATGTGTTGCTTGGATAATGTTATTGAAAATATGGCAATCCATGGACCGATTTGTCCATGTCCGTTACCATGTTTGTCAACGAAATATGAGGAGGTAGTTACAAGAACAAAATGGCCTTCTCAAAAATATTTTTATGAATATCAAATTCACCAACTAAATTTAACGGATTTTCAAACACACATAGAAACGTTTAAATGGTTTCATACATTTCTTGATATATATTCCGATACTTACGAGATGGATCTTATCAAACAAGAAAGTATGTTTGAAAGTTCGGAACTATACAGTTGTTTGGGAGGGAACCTTGGTCTTTTTTTGGGCATATCGTTTGCCGTGGTTTTTGAAATTGTTGAGTTTGTGATTGTTATGCTTATTAACTTTGTGAGACAATTCTAGTTATGTTTGAGAGTTCTGAAATACTAAGTCGTTAGAAAGGATACCTTGACTTTTTCTGTATACCATTTGAGTTAGTTTCCGAAAGTTTTGAAATTGTCTTTAAAAAATCTATGAAGTTTACGAGACAGCTTTTATTAAACAAAAATAATGTTTAAGTAGTCTGAATTTGTTTGTGTGTGTGTGTGGGGGGGGGGGTAATNTGTGGGGGGGGGGGGTAATTTTGCATTTTTTAAAAAAGTGATGATTTGCCATTGTTTCCGAAAGTGTTGAATTTGTCAATGTAAAACTTATGAAGTTTATGAGACAGCTCTAATTAAACATACGAGCCTCTTTGGTGGAGGTTTTGAAATATTCAGTTATTTGAGCGGAAACTTTAGTCCTATTTTGGGTGCTAGTTTTCGAAATTGTTGAATATGTCATTGTGAAACTTAGAAAGCATACGAGAAAAATCTGATCAAACAAGAAAGTTCGTTTTGAGTTCTGAACTATTAAGCTGTCTGGGAGAAAAACTTGACTAATTTATGGTATATCACTTAGGAAAGTTTTTGAAAATGTTGTATGTGTCAGTGAAAACGTACTATCCTTGAAAAAAATTATGCCAATTTAACAAGTTATTTAAGCGTGTTCTTTAAATGAAGTGGTTGAACATCCATGGACTAACTTCCTAGCAAAGCATGTGAGAGAGTTTAATAACAAAATGGCTATATGATGAATATTTCAGATAGTATTAAAATTGTATCCAATTTGAACAATTATACAAAATTTACATTATGGAGAGCAGTTGTATCTCTTACCATTGATTTGTCTGTTTAAAAGTGTGCGTGCACGATTTGACATGCATACATTGAAACTTGCGGGACATTGGTAAACAAAAAAGAAAGTTTTTTTTTTAAGAGTTGTAAACATTTCAGAATGAAACTTAATTCTTTTCTGACCATATTTATTACCGAAGCTTTGCTATTATCTACAGTTCTACAGACTGCCTCACATTTTTAAATTATACCATTTTTCATACATTAAAAACATAAGGGCCATTTCTAGAATAATTACCATGCTCATGAACCGCAAATACTTTATAGATCAATTTTAGCATTTTTTTAAAAAGATTTTCGCAATAAAAGCATTTCAGTTTTAGATTAAGAGAAGCAATATTTAAGTAGAATTTACATGAATGTTACCATAGATGATGAATGATACCATAGATGAAGATTGCCATTGTTGATACTACTCTCACCTCGCTGGTTACCCGGATGTGATCTGAACACGTTAACCTCGACAGAAATGCCCACTTCGATTTAAACTCGCCTGTTTCGATTGATGGTCAACTTTGAACAGTTGACTTGCTACTTGTAACTGGGACGCTGTCCACCTGCGCTCGCTGTTACTATTCAGTCTCTATCACACACAACGTCGATCTGCATACATTCGACTGCTTACGGCAACACAGGAGTAACCATGATCGTAAAATTAATACAGCTCTCACGATCAGCACTCAAAGTCTGGTGATCTTAATAAATTTCTCCCAGCTTCTCACATAACAGCAATGTATAAGCAAGTGGTATCCATTCATCGAATTCTATCACAGATAAAAATTCTGGTGGGGGAGTACTGTAGCGTAGCGTGTCTGCAACTGCAAGTATTCAATTCCTATTCACTAGTATGCAAGATATATTAACTCGATTCTATGTTGGGGTAACTTGTCATAGAAGAAGATTGATATTGTCGATATTACTTTCACCATTATCTATCTCTTTTCAATATAACATAATCGTATTAAAATCGTATTTACATATCAAATATTTGTTATTGTATTTATCCAAATAAGTGAAGTGTTTCAATCTAATTTAGATTTTTTTGTTGTTGTTGACAACAGCAGATTTTATAAACTTAAAATTATATTTAAATTGTATTTTAAAATTAGTGTTTACTATAACTGACTTCTTTTTTATGTTCCTTGATTGGTAAATAAAATTGTCTTTTAATTTCAAAAATTAAATATTTATTTTGAGATAGTGGGGATAAGACTGCAAAGTACAACGATCACCGTGACATCCAGTTGTTGGTCATGGATGTTATATGGCAATGTGGTCAACATTGATTTCCAGCCGATTTTATTTTCCTGACAAGTTGGTATCCGTTGTTATCAAGCTGGGAGTACTGGGATGCTGAGGGACGTTATAATGCTGTAGAAACTGTTTATGAAAATTATCAACTACATATATTTGAAACTTAAAGTATAATTTTTTTTAAATAATTCGAGATTAAGCTGGTTTGAAATGATGCTAAAAGGTCAAATTATCAAATTGTTATCAAATTGCTTACAGATTATAGCAGGATTACTTTCTATCTCTGATTCAGCAGCTAATACCGCCGTCCCACAGTGGACTGATCGTTAAGACACGGTTCCCTGCAGATCACCGAAGTCAAGCATCACTGGCTACGGTCAGTGTGCGGGTGGGTGACCACTTGGATCAGTCTGTGTAGGGACCGAAGGAGTGCGGTATTGGTCCTCGTTAAACTGTGCTACCGTAAAGTGCTCGACTTCGCGTGCAGGTCGTCGGGCTACCGAAGCGGGGATGCCATCCCCTCTGCAGAGGATCAAAATTGTGATGGCATGTCTTCGGATCATCCTCCGGGATGTTTCCCAGACCGTCGTCAATAGCCCAATGTGCAGCTCTGGTGCGACGTAAATTAACAACAACAACAATACCACTATAATTTGTTTGTATTTTGATAATTTTTTTAAAAAAAAAGTTGTTCCGGTTTTGAAAATTCATCGTTTATTCTTAGTTTATTTATGGCGTCTTTCTTCTACACTATATAAAGTCCTGTGCTCCCGAAACTGCAAATTGTAATTTGAGTAATTTTTTAAATTTTTTTTTGTTTGCATTTTGCAAGAGATTATTGCCAAGAATGTACTATTTTGGGATATTGTATCAATCGATCAATAGCTGAAATTAGTGGTTGGAAAAACTACATTATTTTTTAAACTAACTACTTAATTACAAATGTAGTTAACTACAACTGAAACTACTTTTGAAATGTTGCCATAGTACTTCTCTAGTTTTAGACGACAAACATTGCTGGAGAACTAAATTTATACCATTTTCAAAATAATTGATTTTTTTTTTCATGTTTACATGAGCTAGTTTGTTAATCTAAACCATATTTCATGAATTTTGTTAATTTGGACTAAACATTTTAATACTTTCTCGACGACCAATGTTTAATTTAACAAATGCTAGAAAATATTTGAAATGTTTGCAAGTTTGTTAAGTGTTTAATGTTCTTTTATTTCCTTTAGGAGACTAAGTGCATCGAGGATTACAGATTAAACATCTCCCATTCTAATGAAATGTCAACAATGCTTCATGAGTGTGCATTTGTATTTGAAAGTGTGAATAAGTTAGCTACTATTCGTCATGACTAGTTTAAATATTAGAAATTGCTAATTCTAAATACGTAATTCTTATTAACGCTAGACCACGGGGCATTCTAATTGCGTCCACTGGTTGATCCTTGAAGATATGTACCAAGATTCGAAAAAATAGTTGCATTAGATAGTTCTTAACACTAGATTGCCTAAGGAAGTCATTTTGACTGCTTTTAATTTCAATTAGAAAAACACTGATGTCTATAATGACACAATTTCTTAGAATTTTGTGACTTTTTGTACAACATCTAATTTTTTTTATTGTTAATATTTACTAATAACTTGTTAAATAACTGTAAACAATATAAAAAATGTTAAAAATTAATTTTAAACAAATTTATTTACGCATTCACAATCCTGTTATTTTGACTGCGTTTAGGCAATATAGGTATATACTAATTTTCCGTCTTTCTAGTGTTAACTAAAAGAATGTTAAAAGTAGTTGCCAAAAATCACTACAAGTTTTTTTTCTTCTTTTTTTTTTTTGTATCGCACTGTTCTCTACACTACAAACTGCGAGAAAAAGTAACGGCTGGAGTAGCATCGCTACATGTAGCGACCTACTTCCAAAAACTGGTTAAAAAATATATTTTGTGTAAAGCAGAATAAGAACACTTTGAAAAGCTCAAAATTTAAGATACAGTTTCATTATCCGTATTCCTCCTTGCAGTTTTCTAGTTATCAAACTTACTACACATTTATCTTATCGATAAATAAATAAATAAATAAATAAATATAAAATAATAAAGAAGATTTCATCACATCTAGCTAAGGATGCGGTGCTTTTTAACTCCAAAGTCTTGGAAAAAAAATTCTTCGCATTATATCTATTGATTCTGATTGAGACATATTTGATATCGTAGCTTTAACTTAAAAAATAATAATTCTACAAAAAATTTTTAAATTGCAATTAGATAACAGACAAATATGATCATTTTTAGCTTGTTTAAATTTATGTCATCACATTCTCTTGGATAATTTAATATCTTTGTATTTAAATATTTATGAAATAATTAGGTTACCTTTTATAAATCGATGAAATACACTGCTTGGCAGTTGCTAAGGAACAGTTGCATTTTTCGGAATAATTGATTATAGATAATGATGGAAGAAATGAAACCAAATACATATTTAGTGGAGACAATAGTAAAAGAAAACAAAATATTTAATTCTAAATTGACGAAACTATCTTTGAATGAATCGCTCTTAAAAGCAGCAGAATTTTCAAAAGAAAGAATAAATATAGCAATAAAGAAAACGAAGGAACCACTAGGATATGAACTAAAACTGGTATTAAATAAATTAATAATTAATTAATTAGTGGAGACAATGTGATTTATTACAATGCAAAATGATACAAATATTGTCACGTCGAAAAATAAGAAATTAAATATAGAAAATATGCTCCTTAGACGATTTCCAAGCAGTCACGTAAAATTGTTCTCCTTGCCAGAATGAAACAGTTATGCGTATTTCAGTAACATGCATGATTACCTCGGACACTAATGCATGTTTTGCATCTGTTATTTATGCTGTCTTCTAAATTATCGGGTTGTTCTTGGGGGAT